ACGGAATGATTTGTACGGTTCGTTGGACGAATAATTACAAAATTAGCTGTAACAATAGGATGGATCGCATCCTGGGTGGTAATTGGCGAGCGGTCGGAACAAAGAATATGTAATTAGTTTGCATGCGATTTATAAACGAGCGTTGGTTGCAAAGTCAGCGAAATCGAAAATAATTTACATTAACCGGAGTTAACGAGGGGCTCGGATTCGGTAATTAACCTATTACAGGACGAGCTTGCTTGCATGATAATTTTCAAAATCGATACGCAACATTCCTGCGAGCTACTGTCATATTCACCGTTCGCCACCGTTCTCTCTCGCTGTAAACCATAATCAAGCGGTGACCAAACCCACCGACCACCGAAACGAGTTCGAGGTAGCGGATCTCTCGAAATATCGATAATTGGATTCTACCTGCTCTCAGACTTTGCGCAACGATTTATCGGTTGAAAAACGATTTTTATCCTTTCAAATCGAATCGAAGAAATAAAACAAAAAGAGCGTAATTTCGATACGAGCGCGTCTTTTAATGCCCTCGATGACAAGTTTAAATTAATTTTTCCTCGTTTTCGTTTCATTCTCCTAGTTTGTTGGTCGAGCTCTTTGACCGTCGGTAAATTGAATTAGGCGGTGACCAACAAAGGAAGGTTATTTGTCGGTCTACATACATGTAACGATTCGACGTTTCGTCAAAGAAAATAGAGGAATCGTTTTAATATAGGTAAATTAATTCTAGGTAATTTCGTTTTATCTTCTGGATTCGTTTTCAATTGCTCGTTACGGACTGTGGCCCATTAATTAAAGTTTATTTATGACAGGGCTCTTTGATAAATTGATTTTGCATGGTTGATAGAGAAATTTTCATTTCTCTTCCCTCGTTACAATGTTTTTCCTTTTGCCATCGCTCGAGCCAATATCGGGACAGCATAATTTCGCGTACGTTCCCGTTGCTATTCGCGGGAATACCCTTTTCCCAACGATGTTATTCGAATCTGGGTCATCGACGACAAAAGGAAAAAGCGAGAGGGAAATTTCATTGAATAGAAAGAATAGGAAATTTACAAAAGAGAAGCTGTAAATGGCGGACATAAAATCCTTCTTTATGCTCTTGCACAGGCCTTGCATGCCAATAATGCTAGTTTCTCTCTCTCTCTCTCTCTCTCTCTCTCTCTCTCTTTTCCTCTCTCGCTATCTTTCTTGTCGATTAATTTGCGGAGAACATTGTTGGTTCGATTAAAGTTGTACGCGTAAAAATATTCCCCACGCTTTTTCTATTTTCGCATGGAAAAATTATAATCGCTCTCCAATTTCCAACCAATTTTTACCAATTACGCGTTGATTAAAGTTGGCATCCCGATACATCTATCTACCCGCCATGTAGTCGTAATGCTGCATAATTTCTCAACTCGAAACGATATTTCATGTATCGAAAAAAGGGCAGGGGGAAAAACTGATGTGAAAGATATCTCGCGGAATGGAATATAGGCCATCTAGAAGAGGAAGTTTTCGCCGGACAGATTAAGAAAATGGACAAGCGTTGGAAAGGACGAAGAGTGGGGGAGGGGGGGGGGGAAGGTTTGGAGTTAGTTCAAACGATAGCAACCGTTTCGCCTCCGCGCCCCGTTTAATTTCTGCCTCGTCACTGGTGGAACTTGCCGTTGGCAGTTATTGGCCGGAAAAAAAGAGGGGGGCGGGGAAGGAGGGGGAGGGTGGCCTCGGTAAAGGTTGACGGCCATTTTGATTCATCGGACTCGGTCTCCTCTTTCGAATAAATAATGGCCGGGAAAAGGGGTTTTTTCGTACGCGGAGGTACGGTAAGGTGCGCCAAGCTATTTCGGCCAGCCGTAATTCATATTTACGACCAATGGGAGTTACGCCAACTATAAGAGGCTGCATAATGAAACTCGGTCGCAGTAACACCGCTTCTGCTTTTCCAGCCTCTTTAGTTTCATTTTTTTATGAAACATCGCATCTACATTTCTCCGTCACGCGATTTTTTTCTCTAATATCTAACACCCTCGTTCGAATCTATACAGACGGAAAACATCGAAAACAATGGCAAATCCCTCCGAGGAATTCTGGGAATTTATGGGAAGGGCCAATTTTTGATCCCAAGTCCTTTATCGAATCTCGATGCTTTCGAGAACCACCGACTATTCAAAGGGGGAAAAAGGAGGGGGGAGGGCTACTTCGGTCCAGCTACGCTTTTATTCCCGCGTTCCAAATTCGACATCTTTCGCTCGCACGGACTTGTTTACGGATTGTTTAGACGGCTCGAACTATTTACACGGAAGATTTATGGATCGGCGTTTCGAATCCGGACGATTTCGCAACCGTTCCGGATCGTTTCGTCGCTTTTAATGGAACCAGCGGGAGCGATAACTGTTGGGAACGGGAAAAAAAAAAAAAAAAAAAAAAAAAAATTCTCCTTGCGCGTGGCAAAATGGGAGTAAACTAGTGTTCAGTTCCATTACATAAAACACGATTACGTCGCACTTTTCGCGCAGCTTCGGCCCTTTCCGGTTCATTGAACCCCCTCCCCCTTTTCGTTTAATCCTCTTTGGAAACCGGCATTCACACCACCGGAATAATTTTATTCCAGAAAGCCAACCTTTCTTCCCGCTCTTTATTATCGCGCTCCGACAATTTCTACCGTCTATATCGATTAAAAAAGAGAGAAAGAAAAAAAAAAACAAAGACGCGTGATATTTATCGCGAAGTCGATCCGTTCCAGCCTAGGGAAAAAGCGTTAACGTTTTAACGAGGGACGTCCGGCTGTAAGTTTTAATTGGTCGTCCTCGATCCTCGTTCGTCGAACGAAAAACAGGCGCAGCGCCACGCGTCGTCGATTCGATCTCCGCGTTCCCTCTTCTTCCTTCCTCGCCTCGCCTCGCCTCGCTTCGCCACGCCTTCCATCCTTCCTTCCTTCCTTCCTTCCTTCCTTCCTTCCTTGCTTCCCGCAAAGTTGCAGGGTGGATCCGACCGTTCGCCGAGAGTCAGAGCTGGAAACATAAAACTTTGGACGACATAACTCACCCATTTCCAGACTATCCCTTCGAGAAATTATTTTCTAGGTGGAGAACACGTTCCGCTCTGAAGAGATGGAGAAGTATTTCTCCTCGCGTGGAGGCAGAGAGAGAGAGAAAAAGAGGGAGAGAGCTCGTGCGAGACCTTCGAGTCTCGGGGGGATGCGCGAAAAATCCCCCAGAGAAGGCAAGTCTCGGTCTCGATCAAACATTAATCGTGCCTTTCGACGGATAAATTGGCAGCGCCCGTTTTATTCGTCTCGCCCAACCGGTATTTGTCCACGATTCCAATACACCAATACGCTTCTTCTCTCCTTCCCTCCCACTCTTCCTTCCTTTTCTCGACTCGCTCGAGTCGAAACAACCAATTCCATCGAATCGTCGCACAAAGAAACGTTTTTTCGTACGAGCTATCGAACTTTCTATCGAACGATCGCACCGACTCGACTGACGATTTATAAAAATATTCGAGTCAAGCTAAATTAAGGATATTCCGGGAGATTTTAGCGAGGGATATTCGGGTGAAAGGTTACCAAACCCGAGAGCCGAGAGCCGATCAGAGAGGGCCACCCTTGTAAACGATTTCGTTAGTTTGGACGCAAAGCGTAGCACCGTGGAGAGGAGCAAAGTAGCGGTTGGATGGTAGCAAATAATCTGATTAACGATCGAATAGGCGAGAGCTTGTTGCGTTCTAACCCGGTAATGGCCTCCCATTATTCGGCCAGTCGCGTCTTCGTCGGGGGATAAGCGAGAGGATAATCACGATCATCCCTCCATTTACTATTCGATCGCGGCGAGCCGCGGTAAATCAACGATTTTTAAACAATTATAAATGAAAAATATCATTGAAAAATCTTGAAATCTTTCGTTTAAAATTCGAAGAGAATTTAGAGCGGGAAGGAAACGTTTTCGAGCTCGTTCGAGGAAGGAAGCTGGTCCTGGTTAAATTATTATTATAGGAGGTGAGAAACGAAAGAACGGCGTTACTTTTAGTCTCCTCGACGGAACGGTTAATTTTCTGGCGCAAAAATTAGTCTGAAAATGGTGTGTGAGAAAAGGGGAGGGGGAGGGGGAGAGGGGAGGGAGGGAGGGAGGAAGGGGTGGTGTGAAAGTTCGCCTCAAGTTCGAGCGAAATAAGTGCGGCTAAAGAACAGCGTTGAAAAGTTAGCGCGGCAAACGAGGCTGTGGAACACACAGGATGGAAAACGGGTTGGTTGTAGCCAGTTGGTTACGTGTGTTTGTCCAAGGTACACGTATACGACGACACAACGACGACACGACGATGGCGAAGGACAAGCTGGGCTCTGGGGAATTAAAAAATTTTTAATTGCAACGGTGAGCCAACGACGTCGACCGAGGTGCAAAGCGGTTGCTAATTATCGTCTAAGAAATTACAGGGGCATTAAAGGGGCGAGCCTCCGATAGGCGGAGATTTTAGGTTCAAGATATTTCTGTTTCTCCCGTTACAACATCCACTGTGGACTCTATCGAAAAGATAGATTTCTATTTTTTCGACAATTTTTTCGCACACGCATAATCTTTCTACGGTTTGATTTTTTCTCAAAATTCTTCGAAGATAAAGTGTTAAGCAAAGGCGAAGAAGTGATCAAATTTTTATTTTCAACGGCTCGAGTATTTTCGATAGTCTGACAATAATTTATATTATAACATAATAATGATATTTTAACATTCTTCCAAAACAATAGTAACAATTAATTATAATATTACTAATTAAATTTGTGACAAATCCCATATTATCGACTAATAAGTTTACTAGAGAAAATTACATATAAAAATTTTGTACAATTTTCTGTTTACATATATATTGAAAAAAAATTTACACAATAATTTACCTTCTCCAAAAAAATAACATTTTGTCTCATAATAAGCTGCTGGTTTCAGAAAATTTGTATCCATAATCTCTTAATTAGTTAGAATTGTTATAAATATCCGTGAAAATATTTTTATTAAACATTCGATGTGCATAATTGACTGCACAGATGTTTATGGATCATTTCACAAAAATCCTACAAGAATTAGGAATTAGGAACCTAAAATAGATATATATATATCGTTTTTACTTGGAAAACTTCGTTCCAAATCACATCATGAAAATGTATATGTATAATAAAGTTGCCATTTAATTGTTTCTTTTTCTTAATATTTACATCGAATATTCTACGGCATATAAATAAATTTGAATATTTAATAATTTAATTTTCACTCAAATTTTTCTTTATGCTCTTTAATCACACTATCTACTATCTAGATTGGCATAGACATCATATATAAATCTATTGATCATTTTTACCATTTCAAAATTCATACAAAATTTTTCCAGATCCTAGATTTCCAAACGATATAGCAGCAATGTCTTCACATTTGCGACGTCCTTCAACTCCACTATTGATTCCTCTCAGTTTACATTTTCACGAAAAATAAGGATGGAGGAAAAACCAAAGCCTGCAATAATTTTCTAGATCAGATTAGTTAGAACAGAAGTGGAATACAGATCAGACACAATTCACATCATTATAGTCATCGATCAAACAGTTAAAGTAAATCACCATATCGTTCACTCGAAGCTCATAATATTGGCTTGTTCATGCGATCACGAACAGTCGAATTCGACGACTTCAATCTCGTAGCAATTTCTCGAGTTGTTATTCGTAGGTTTGCTTCGATCGATGCCTTTATTTTATTTTTATCGGCTTCGATCAATCTTCCAGAACGTGGCACATCTTTAACGTCGAAATCGTCGGAACGAAATTTCGTAAATAAATTTTGACACTGGCATACCGTTGATACACTTTCTCCATAGATTTCGCGTAATTTTTTTCTTGCCTAAGAACGGCATTCTTAAATTTCGGTAAAATAAAAAAGTAAAATACGTCGAAAATGCTCTTTTTTGGTCTCGTATCTTTGTTATCGCGCATGGAAAACCGCACAGAATCAAACGAATTTTTCTTATAAATAAACCGTGAAATGCCAACGATCAAAATATATAACACGGTTTAGAATGAAGTTGGCTGTAAAATAACGTTCGACTAGCGACGCTCGTGTGAAAAAATGAAATTACTTTCCGAACAACCCAATAGAAATGTCCTATAGGCAGGTAGCTGGTCTTTCGAGTATAAGAGCATCACGTCTGTGCTACATATTCAAAGTCAGTTTAGACTTTAACATAGAGATATTGCCCCGTTTTTTTTGCGTCAATCTTTTAAGTAAAAATTCTTCGCACGTTCTTTACACGTATCTTATACACAATCGACGCGATCTTCGATTTCCTGGCACGTAACGAATCCGAATTTCGAACAATTGAAATTAATTTTCGCTTTATATTTCGCAAATCGATCATTCGTTTCCACACACAGTTCGAAAAAACAATGTTACTTTCGTTCCAATTAATTAGCCGTTGATTTCCAGCTTTCTCTATTATTAGCCGTCGTTATCTTTTAGGAAATTTTTCATCTCTCTTAACGATAAAATCTCTTTGAAACAATGAAACGATCCGTACGTAAGATCGTCGAAGGACGAAATGAGACGAGGTTGGAACGAGGAGGAAATCGCTTCGGTTATAAGCTTAATTGGCAACGTGTGTCCCGACGGTTATCTCTTTGGTCGGATTACGCGTATCCGGTATGACATTTCGGCACAGTATGAATTAATTTCACCGACAAATATTTGAGATGCAAAGGAATTAATATCCCGCGCCACTGTTTATTAATTACGATCTTCAATATTAGTCCGATCCAAATACGAGCCGCCACTCGTCACTATTCGCTACAAAATAGTTCACTTTAGGCAATTACCATGCGCCACGATTAATCGCCTTCGAGCGATTATACAATCTCCTTCTCTCCCCCTTCCCCTCATTCCTTAAAAAACTATCTCGATTGCACCTCGATCCGTTTATCCAATGAATTACTTTTTTTTAACGCGGTTTGTGCATACGTGACTGTGTGCAACGAAGGAGGGGGAGGAGGAGGGGGGGGGAGGGGAGGCTTTTTAATCCTGGGCAGGGCGCTCGCGTCGTGTCGTGGCACGGTTAACAAGCGTCATAATTCACCGGAGGAATTTTCCCGCGTAAATAATAGTCCCCTTTAAACCTTCTCTTCCCCTTGTTTATAAAAAAAACTGTTCTGCATACATTACGGCCAGGATATTATTATTCCTGTTTGTTTTCTTTCCTTTTCTTTCCTTTTTTTCCATTCGCGAATTTTAAAAAAGGGAAAATAAAAAGAGTAGAAGAGGAAGGAAACGCGTCCGTACGCGGAGTAATAAAATTGAAATTTATACTTTCCGTTCGTTTTCGTTTCTCGTTTGCGCGATGCACCGCCACAACAACCGTTTACGCTCCACCCACCGCGAGCGCCCGTGTTTTTGACACGAATTTAATTATTTTTATCGCGACCAGACAGAATTTAAGTGGTCTCTACAGATCTCGCGCAGCCGGTCCAAAGCCGGCGCGCGAGGAGAAGCCTATTTCATTTCCATTAGACCAACTCTCTCTCTCTCTCTCTCTCTCTCTTATTTTCTCTCTCTTGTGTTCCGCTTTAGAAACGCTCGAGGTTCATGCGGCTGTTCAAGGAAGTTCGTTATCATTCGATACGTAAATTTCAATGCGGGGGCTTGCGCAATTTCCGTTTTACATCGTTCCATAAAGAGGAGGTAGACGCGGCCGCCATGTACGCAGCTCTACTTTAGCCCGAGCTTCCTCGAAGCGAGGAAACGAGTGACGACGACAAGGGGCGGAGAAAGGAGGGAAGTGAGCACGTGCTTTCACGCCACGCTCCAACGCCTGGAACGTGACGACGAGAAACTCCTCTCCCGACGACTCGTTTAATCCTTCTAGCCTTTCGATTCGAATCAATCCTTATTTATTGGGTTGTTCGGAAAGTTCGTTTTTTTTTCACGACAATGAAACACCAAGTTCGTTTCACACGATCACAAACAGTCGAGTTCGATCTCGTAGCAATTTCTTCGAATTGTTATTCGTCGGTTTGCTTCGAACGATGTCTTTATTTTGTCTTCATCAGCTTCGACCGGTGCGAATCCAGAATATGACGCATCTTTAACGTCGAAATCATCAGAATGAAATTTCGAAAATCAGTTTTGTCACTGGCGTACTTGATATAACCTTTTTCATGCACTTCATTCGCTTCCATTCACTTCACGTAACTTTTTTCTTGCCTGAACGGCATTTTTAACCTTTTCGGTAATAAAGAAGTAAAATATAATCGATATAATCGAACCGAAAATGTTCTTTTTGATATCGCGCACGAAAAACACAACCGCACAACAGAATCAAACGAATTTTTCTTACAAATAAATCGTGAAATGCCAACTCTTAAAATATACCATAACAACACGGTTTAGAACGAAGTTGGCTATGGATAAACGTACGACTAGCGCCGCTCATGTGAAAAAGCGAAATTACTTTCAGAACGGCAATATATACTCGTATTCCGCGACGATCAAGTCGAATGAATTTTCGATAGGTCGAAATCCTTGTAAATCCTTAGAAATTATATCGGTTTATTTAACAAGTGACTCGTTGATCAGGAACGACGTCTGCTCGAGAAACGAAGAGATGCTTTGAGCAAACGCGTACAAACAGGTTTCCAGTCAAGCGTGTATCAAAGATCGCGCGAGAATTCCGGCCTAGAGACGATCAAACTCGAAACGTTACCTACCTATCTTCACTTAGCCGGCATGTTTCCGTTCGAGTGAACGTGAGGTCGAGTCGTGAGCCGGTCCGCGCATCCCTGCTCCCCTGATTCCGTTCCAATTCCATTCCCCTGGCCCTCGATCTGGCTCGACAAGCCACGGTTGAAGAATGGTGTCAAGAATTCGACCGGCAACGGAAAGATGATGGTCGAGTTCTTCTCCGCGGATATGTTGCTCAGCGTTTGCAGATATCTTAGCTGTGCGTGGAATACATACACACACACACACACATATATATATATATATATATATATAGAGATCGATATTCGTTCGTATGGAATAATCGAAGGAGGGGGACACGTTTGGGGATTGGTCGAGTGCAAGAGAAGTAATTCGTTTTCTCGAATTAAACGGGACGAGGGTAATTAGAGAAAGAGAGAGAGAGAGAAAGAGAGAGAGAGTGGAATTACAAAGATATCTTTGACATTTCTCGAGGAGGCAGGAGGTGGAACGTACCTGAAGAGCGGCTGGACTCGTGGAAATGACATCACTGGCCTCTTTCAAGGCACGGGAAGCCAGCATCTCCCCTTCCGCCGCGATCACTTTGGCCCGAGCCTCCCTTGCGGCTTCTGCCTCCGTGGCCATGGCTCGTTGCAGCTGCACCGGAAGCCGAACGTCCTTTCTAAATCAGGAACATCCGTTCCAACTCCTTTCGTTTCCCTTTCGTCTACCTTTACCTGTCTCTCTTTATCACTACAATCCGATTCACGAACCGCGAGATCCCATCGATTTTCATTGATATTCGATTTTTCTGTCCCATTTCTCTCTCTCTATAAAATTATACGCGTTACCTATAATTTTACGATTTCGCGTTTCAAAACGGAAGGAAAAGAATGATCATGAATGGAAAACTAATTTTTTTTTTTTTATTTACAAGACTCGGCCTTAAAAGAGAGAGATGGAACGCCGTGTAGGAGAGCGCGTAAGAGCGGATATATTCGAGGATAGTTTCGAATTTCTTGGCCAAGTTCCACGGACACGGCCGGAATAAAGAAGATTCCTTTGTTTTATCCGTTCTCTTATGTACGTGTGTCGCTGTCTGTTTTTCGGATCGGAGCGTATGGTTTCCGCGTAGCGAACAGTCGTTTCGAATTTGAAGCGGAAACGAGTTCCGTCGAATCTCGTCGAGATGATAAATTCCCATTTCGCGATTGGATAAGATTTCGAATTTCGTTTTTCGAAAAGGAAAACGAGAGGATCTACGCTTTTTATTATTTTTCAACTTTTGCGTACTCAGTAGGGCTAAGCTACTCGTGTAACTCTTCGTGGCATATGAGTTGAAAAGCTTTCGACTTTGAATCGTGATAAATAATGGTCTGCGCCTTTTTGCCAGGCGAATCGGTCATTTTTAAGAAAACAAGACGCGTATATTTCTCGTCTGGAAAACTGTCAAAATGCACTTTGCCTTCGTATTCGTTTGACAAGAAATAGAAACGCGCAAACGTTCCTTTCTTCTACTTAATCATCAACTCCATACGCATAGAGGCAGAGCTTTCGCGTTCGAAACGGGAGGGGGCGTTGTTCGCCGATGTAACGAGAGACGGGAAACATTTTTTCCCAACGATAAGTAGCGCACTTGGGCCGCGCCACGATCTCCGCACGGCTCTTTGACGCGTGTTTCAAAGGGTTCTTTTCACCGGATACTCGAATCTTTTCCACCCTTTAGAAAAAGGGGAGAGACTATCGGGGAACGCGGAGACGATGCGAGCATCGAGACTAAAGGGCTCTTCCTTTTCGGTTACGTCTCGTCGAGCTATGATCCCCCCTCCTCACCCGCTTTCTCCAGTATTCGCGTTTATGCGCGCCCGCGTACGCCGATCAGAAAATACGTCGCGCGCCACACTTTTTCTTCGGTCAAGTATTTCGTCACTTTTTTTTCTTCTCCATCTTTCGTTTTCTTACGAGCCAAAGGACGAAGATTTGCGAAGAAGGATCAGCCTGGATTTTATTTTCTACGCGAATTTTTGTTTTTTGGCTTCTCTTAGTTTTGCGTTTTCACGAAAAATAATGATTGAGAGGAAAAAAAGGAAAAAAAAGAGAGTCGAGAGATCGGATCGGTTAGAGTAAAATAGAATTGGGATCGGATCGAATTTAAGCGATACAGTTTAGAATCATTACGGTCGTCGATCAGAGGCCGTGAACAGAGCTAAAGTAAACCGTATCGATTTCGTTCGCTCGAAGCTCATAATATAAACGATTGTATTGTTCTACGATGGTAAATAGTCTTTCGAATAGCGTCACATTTGTGCAACGTTTTAGACTTTAACATCCCGTTTTTATAACATTTCTCGAGAATATTTTCTAATACGTGTGTTTTCTCGATATACGTCGACATACGTTGGAACGACGGATACTTAAAATCGATCGAATTAATATCGGTTCTTCTAAGAACGATCGGAAAATTGAAATAGGATAGGGAGAAAAGAAACGATCGTTCCTTACCGATTCGAGATAAAATACGAAATTCTCGCCGTATCGAGTGGAACTATCATCGAGGCTGTCGATCAAGGGTTATATTTCACCCTACCTATTCCTTTCCACCGAGTTCAACGAAACGAGATATTCTTTTATACGTCGATAACGTAACGTTTATACGTTCGTCCGTCCCGCGATGATCGATAGACGGACTATTTTTCCTTCGATCGTTGACTCTCGTTCCTGCCATCGATCTTCCTCGAGAAGCGAAATCGGTCACGGTTCGAGCTCTCGTCTCCGCCAATCGTTTTTACCGATCGAGGACGGTTCTCGAAGCGTCGGTTAAAGGATTGGGACGCGTATACTCACATTTCAACGCGTTCGACCTTGACACCCCAGGGCTCCGTGGCTTCGTCGAGAGAGGTTTGCATGGTGTGGGAAATGGTTTCACGTTCCGAGAGAATTTCGGCCAAGTTTCTCGTCCCAAGCACCGTTCGCAACGTGCTGGCAGCCAGTAGCCGAGTCGAGTGGCTGGAAATATCCCGCCAATTTCGCTTTTACCCAATTACTACGAAATTTCACGTTTCGACGAGCGTCCACGATTTTTTATCTCGCGCGTAGTGTACACCGCGCGAGTGAAATTGTTTTTTTTTTTTCTTTTTTTTTTTCCCCTTCCCCGTTGGTAGGGGGAAACGAGCGTAGTAACGTTTTAACGTCGTAATCAGTGGAGTGGAGTGGAGGACGGGAGGAATTTTGATCAAAGTTGGCGTCGAGTCGAAATGAATACACCGTACAATTACGTCGTCGTCTTTTCCATAATTAAACATCGGCCCCTCCCCTCCCCCTTCTGCGCTCCAGTTAATTAAACGTCGTCCGCCTCGCGGAAACTGTCACGTGTGCCGTGCGTTTAAAAAACGCCTCGTCGACGTTGTCCTCGCTCGAGATGGAGAGCTCGGTTAATTCTATCTATCCTATATTCCATTTTTCTAATTCCGCTACAACGATACTTTCTTTTTTATCGATCGAGAAAGTTCTCTCTCTCTCTCTTTCTCTCGCGCGCGAGCGCACGCGGAGATTTTCGAGCCAATCGATGCAACTTTCACGCGATTAATCAGTTTTCTCCCCGCGTGGGGCAAATTATCCGAGCAATTCCTCGAGGTGCCGTCTCTCTCTCTCTCTCTCTCTCTCTCTCTCTCTCTCTCTCTCTCTCTCTCTCTCTCTCTCGCATTTTTCTTCGGCATCGGTGATTCCAGACGACGAGGACGAGAACGAGGACGACGCTCTACGAGTCCCGTGATGCTAATTAAAATTTCAGAAAATGGTGTCCGCGTTAATTAACCCCGGTCGCCCAAGGAATCCCTAATTAATTTCCCGCGTCTCGACAATTTCGGCGCTTACCCTAGACGCCGTCTTAATCTAAAGTCGAATGCTCCTTCCTTTTCATCTTCCCTCTCCACTTTTTTACGCGTTTACGTGTAATCGAGAATAAATATATAATATATAATATAAAGTATATAATATATAATAAATATCTAATATAAATATAATATAAAATATATATAATAAAAAATTTTTACACTTCGCGTATATATATCAATCGCGTGGAAAAATTATAATTAAGTTCGATTCTTCTATCTCTCTCTCTCGACCGTTCGTCTTTTTCCCCCACGTTGGTTTTTCAACGCTGGTTCGGATTAAAATTGCAAGCGCGGTTGTTTCTCTCTTCTCTCGTCTCCTAGAGAGAGAAATAGAAGGAAGCTAAATGTTACGAGTCATTCAACGAGTTGTCGCCGGTCCTTTCGCCAACCATTCGCATTACGCGGATGAAATCTCTTTTGCGATAGCGCGCATTTCCTCGCTCGCTTCCTCCTCCACCCCCCTCGCCTACTACCCATTAACCACGCTTGCCGCGCACCGCGTTCATTTTGTCGAGTTAACGGCGAAAAAAAACACGGCTAAACGCGGTTATCGTTACCCCATCGTTCAAAATTTTCATACGGATGATAACGCGTAAGGAATTAAAAATCTCTTTCTCTCTCTGTCTTTGTAAAGCTCGGATACGCGTATGGGGAGAGGGGAAAAAATATCGAAAGTATTTGTACCTGTAATTGGCTATCTTGATGACGGCGTTCAATGGCTCTTTTATGCGATAATAGACGACCGCGTCCACGCTCACCGTCACGGAATCCTTGGTGAGAACTTCTTGGGGAGGCACGTCGAACGAAACCGTCCTCAGATCGACGCGTACGCAGTTGTCCACACATGGCATCACGAAAAACGTGCCTATGGAGTAGTAATAGATAAATAAAATATAAGAAAAGGAAAAAAAAGAGAGAGCGAATCGAAAAAATCAAAAATAAGGAAGAACGTTGATTTCGAAGTTAGTTTCGGTTTCGATCGATGGAAGTATCGTTTACTGATGAAAAGAAGTCTCGTCTATCACTGCATACTGCATACTATAATTCGAAATCAATCTAATCATCTTGATGAATCAAAATAATTAATAGTTTCGAAAATATTTCAGTAGTGTGTAGTGTTAACAAAGCTTCTGAAATGGGAAAGTAGGCGGTCCTAGCGAAGGATCCCTCTTGCCCCCTGTGCCTCCATCTTGACCATTCTTTTTAATGGTAAACAGTACAGTTTTTTTTTTGTTTTTACTTATTCCGATTGTATATTCTAAACTTCGATGCATTAATCCAGAAATCGATATAATATAAAAATTTTTTGATATTAACTTATTCGTACATGTTATAGAGAAATAAAAAAATTTTTATACTATATCGATACGTCAGAATATTCTAGGTTTCTATGCTACGCTTAATGCATTAAGGTTTAGATACAGATCGTCTTGGATTAGTATATGTAATAAATGCCACGGTAGAAACAAAAATGTGTGTGAAAATAAACGTTTGCTTCAGTTCATGCTGTTTATTGGTGGAAAGAACTAATTCGAGACGGTGCAGGGGCAAGAGGGATCCGCCTATCCCCACTTTAGTCACTGCTTTAGACTTTGTTGACAATCTTGACATCGCACACTGCATACTAATAGAAGAGCTACAATTCGAATATTCAAAATCGATAATCATACAAGACTGAAATTATTTTCTAAACTATTGATTATTTTGATGGTAGCTTATTTGTCTAGCTTATTCGTATATGTATTATTATTATTTTAACTATTTATACAAAATTATATTTATAAATTAAACTCGTTATCGTTACAAATCGTAATTCTAATCTATGTGTATATGAGAAATGAAAAAATTTTTATATTATATCGATATTCTGGATTAATGCATCGAAGTTTGGATACAAAATAATTGGAATAAGAAACAAAGAAAATTGTACTGTTCACGGTTGAAAAGAAGTCACGCAAGATGAAGGGGCACAGGGGGCAAGAGGGATCCTTCGCTAGAACCGCCTACTTTCCCATTTCAGACGCTTTGTTGACATTACACACTACTGAAATATTTTCTAAGCTATTAATTATCTTGATGGTATATCTAGCTTATTCGTATACGTACAATTATTATTTTAACTATTCGAATATGAAATTATATTTATAAATTAAACTACCGTAATTACAAATCGTAATTAATCTACGCGTATTATGAAAAATAAAAGAAATTTTTATATTATATTAATACGTTAGAATATTCTGAATTAGTATATGTGACAAATACCACGGTAGAAACAAAAGATAGGTGTTTCCTTTCAAATTAACCAATCAGATTCGTGTTTCCTTCCATTTGTTTCCACCGTGGTGAACATGGTACGGTTTACCTGGTCCATAAGCGGCGCCTTTCAGCCGTCCCATTCTAAACACGACGGCCCTCTCGTACTCTTGCACGACTTTGAAGGTGAAGCAGAGCGAGAAGGGCAACGTAACGAGCACTAGCAGGAACGAGCCTATAGTGGCCAACAACTCGACGAATCTAGTCGTAGCGCCGATCTTCGTCTCGCCGCGTGCCACTGACGATTCCTCTGTTTCCTTCCCCGAGGGCAAAAAAAGGGAAGGTGATATGTACAAGGTGATACAAGCGCGACACGCACGTGATGAAGGGATAATAATTCGCGAGGGATAAAGCGTAGGAGAAAAGAAGAAAAAAGAGTTTCGAGTTCTCCGCCGAGTAATGGAAACGATTTGTCACCGATTATACCGGTAGAGGATTTCCTTCCGTGTCCCTTTTCGTTGATACCGCGCAAAAGCAATCGTGCAAAGGCGCGCGCTCTCTCTCTCTCTCTCTCTCTCTCTCTCTCTCTCTCTCTCTCTCTCTCTCTCGTTCTCGGTAAATTGCGCGTGAAATGGAACGACTGCCAGAAAAGTAATTCGTCCCCCATCCATCCACGGCCTTTCTCATTAATTTCATCGCATCACATTTTTCTCTTCAAAATTCACCGGTCGCGATTTCGACCCGCGATCTAGTTCTCGCGAAATGTCCAAGCAGGACGCTTTGGCACGCGATTTATAATAATATCGATCGAAAAGAAAGAAAGAAAAAAAAAAAAAAAAAAAAAAAAAAAAAAAAAAGAAACGTCTCGAGAGGACGAAAACTGAGGGATTCAACGCGTTTCTTTTTTCTCTTTTTTTTACCGCGAGCTTGAAATTCGCGAGCCGGACATCGCGTTTCTTTCCTTTCTCCTCGATGGTCGAAATGCTCGTATTTTTCTTTACTTTGTCGCAGCTTTCGCCCCCTCTATTTGGCAATGGGTTTGAAACGAACGGCAACGAGAGGAAATACTATCGAGCAACGTGGTGGCCTCACTGAACTCGACGAAGCACTCGACTCCACCGCTGTCGGTTTTCGCGCATCCGTAGCGTACCATGTCGCATCACGCCAGGGATCCCCACACCACTTCCTCTCACTTCCTCTCTTTTTCCAACCCTCTATCTTCTTCTCCCTTCCTCCCCCCTTTTCTCGAGTCGTCGATCACCGCCGCCAACGTCGATCCTTAACTCCTTGGCTGCCTCCTCGGACGATTAGTCGTTCCCTCCACAACGATTTTCCTCGAAAATTCTTTTGCTGGATGGATGCACGGAGATTCCCATAGATTCCGCTAAGGCGGAATCCGCTTACGATGAAGGCGTTTCGGCCACTAAGAGACGGCAAGCAACGAGCGGATTTTATGGTGGACGAGGGATAAACGGCTGCTAGGTTACACTACCACACGCGTCGACACCGCAACACCGCAAACCTCTACCAAATTAACCGGTCGTCATACCCTCCTTGGAACACGCTCCTTGTTTATGTACATAATGAGTAATTGCGTACCGTGGATCGACGAAACGCAGCGTTTCGCGGCGTTGCCCGAGGGGAACCCGGTCTTCCCTGCGTTTCATCTTTCGCCCGATGGAGGCGAAATTTCTCTCTTTCCTCTTCCAATTTTTTCCACCTTCTTCGATTTCTCGATTTCGCAACGAAACGAAGAGAGGATAAACTTTGAATATTTCGGTTTCGTCGTCACCTTCGAAATCCGACGTTCTGCAATGAAACGTTAATACCTCGGTAATCGAGGTGTCGTTCGAGACCACTTTATGGCGTCGTAAAAGGATACCCCCCCTCCTCCTCGCCCGTCGTAAAATCGATTTAATTTCGGTCCACGTTAGGATCGCGCGATACTTTATATTCCCGTAATTGAATCGTTCGTCACGGTGAAATTTGAGAATTTACCGAGGAACGGCGAGAGGAAAGAGGGGAGGGCCAATCTTGCTGCGTTAATTCTTCGATGAAGGGAGAATTCTCCTCCTCCTCCTTCTCCTCCTCTTTCCCCTCGGAAAGAACCGACGACAGGCGTTAACGAGACGAGTTCCCTTTGAACGGAGGGAGGAATATGAACCGCGTAAAATCGAATACGCGTCGATTAACCCTTTAACTTCCCTTTTTTTTTCCTCCCCTCTCCGTATAATTAACAAAAGAGACGTCGTCGAATTAATTAAAAGTATGAGATACTTTGAGGGAGGGAAAGCGTAATATTAAAGCGAATTTTTCCAAATTACCAAAGAAGAGAGAGAGAGAGAGAGAGAGAGAGAGAGAGAGAGAGAGAGAGAGAGAGAGAGTTGCGCGCACAAAAGAGTTAACTTGGGAAAAAAGCGTCCTCTTGGTCTTTCCACTCGAGGATCCGTTCTTGGCTATAAAAGTCCTACAATGAAATAATTGCGCCCGCTTACTTACAAGCGCTTTGAAAAACGAGACACTTCCCAACCTTTTCTTCGTTTATTTATCTCATTCTCCACTCGCTTTCGACTCGGATTCTCTTTCGATCGTTTCGATTGCTCGTTCATAATTTCCATACGCTGTCTTCTTTTGCTTCTTCCCCTCGAAGAGAGGAAAAAACGCTTCCTTTTTCCGAATCCGAATTCCCTTCCAACCAGTGCTGCAATCATCGTAACTGCCACGAATGTAACGATCCTCGACGAGGATTAAAAATAGTTGGGGGGGTGGGGAGAGGGGGAGAAAAAAAGGTGGTGGTAAAAGTTGCATTTTTCGTGCACAACGAAAATAATAAAAAAAACTTACGATCGAGTGTGGCGAACGATAACGCGAGAAACGGATGGCGAGCGGAGTGAGTTGGTTGGTTTTCGAATCGCGATCGATCTATCGTCTGTCGATATTCCAGAATAATCGGCCGATTCGGCCGAGGAAATCATCGACGCGATAACAAATTCCCGATTAATCGGCAATAACGCGAAGAACAACGGCGCTATTCCGCTAATTTCCACGCTTGGACAACAATTTTATTTCGCGTAATTTCCGCCCCGATTCGAAATTTCATCCCCTTTAACGACAATTGTTACAACGATGTCAACGCTCGTAAATTCTCGCAATTCGAAAATTTTTCGCAAAGTTGGACAACGGTGTAATCAGAAGGAAGGAAGAACAACGAGGAATGGCCCAGCAGAAGGCAGAGAGCAATAGTTTCTAAGAATAACGATTAAAATAACGATGATTCAACATCGAGATGTTTGAACGAGTATCCTCGTATATCCATCGTATTTGCCTCCGAATACATTTTTATGTATAAATTAGGGATAAACGAAGGGAGCGATAAAGCAGCGGCGAGGTGGTAATCGACTCGTGACAGCGTTTAAACACGGAGGATGTTTGGTTATTCTAGACCAGTCGCGTTGATTCGATAACCGTTGCCCGTTGTTCGATTTATATTCGTCATCGATGGAATTTCCTTCCACTTTTATATTCCGATTTTAATTTACGAGATTCGAGTCGGCGTTGTTCGAATTTATCGAGCTATTTTTTTACTCGATCCCGACCAATGATAACTTTTTATGATACACGGTTGCCGGCACTAGAGAGGGAAAAGGGGAAGGCAAAAGTCAAGCTTTTTTCCCGTTTCAATTAGAAACTAAAATTAAAAACTCGTTAGTCGAAACGAAAGCATTCCTATCCCCCTGTGAGGTGGATGACCGTCCCGACGACGAAATCGATCGACGTGCCAGATGCTTTTTGACGTAATACGTTTCCCAAATATTTTCACCGATCATCGAGTTCGAAACAAACGAATCGCTTTCCCGTTCCCGGTGTTAATAAGCGTAACGATATATTCATATCGCTCCCTCTTTTCCATTTTCGCATTAAATCCGAGAGGAAAGCAGAGAGAAAGAGAGAGAGAGAGAGAGAGAGAGAGAGAGAGAGAGAGAGAGAGAGAGAGAGAGAGAGAGAGAGAGAGAGCGATGACCGAATTAAAAAACATCGCGTTATTCTAATTATGCACACGTGTCGTTCGCCGATATTCGATTACACGCACGATAGAGGTATCGTGTCGTTTCCCGATTCGCTTTTTCGTTATGTATTCAGTACGCTTATATTCGATTACGCGAAAAACGAGTAGATGTGACACAGGAGGCGGTTGGATCGTGCAACGTCGCCTTTGTCCTTCATCCTATTAATAATAATCAGCCACCGGATATACCCGTGCTAATGAGCAACAAGCTACGCGTTTAAATTGCACCGTACCATTTACTTGACGGCGATCGTGAATATTAGTCGTATAACAGACGTGAGGATATTATTCCGCCGTTAGAGCAAAACTTAGATCTCTGTCTCACTCTCCGTCATTCCCCTCTTCACTCGTCTACTTACCGAGTCGACGTCTCGAACGTCATCTGACGGATCAACGCCATCTGTGGGGACCATCGATTCCCTTCCTATTACGAAAGTTGAGCCATCTTGGTCACTCGTATTAATACTCGAACTATGCTTCGTGTAGCATTGGGAGCATCGTGTGTCGTTGATGGTGGATGGTTTTCGGATCTATCCATAAACCGAGCAACATCGATCAATTCTTGTCGAAGAATCGTTGGAACGGAAATCAGGAATCAGTGAAAAAAATCTTCACGCGTTCGTTTCCACAGAGAGTAAATTTCGAGTAATGTTTTTAATGTTACACGTTCCTCTTTACGCGTTCCTCGCGCGATCCATATCATTCCATCCACTTCACGGTGTTTCGTGCAACGTTATTCGTGCCACCCGCTTCCTCCTATCTTGTTATACTATAAAATTTCAAGTTTCCGCCTATCTCGTTACGTAGCAATTTATTCGTCTTCCCCATGGGGAAAATAACATTTTAATTCGCCGTTAATAAAAGACGAACTGAATTACACTCTCTGAGATCTCAGAGAGAGAGAGAGAGAGAGAGAGAGAGAGAGAGAGAGAGAGAGAGAGAGAGAGAAGTAAACCGGATCCCCGTATTTACTGTGGAATTCCGTGACGCGAAAGAATCGCTAGACGTATCCATCGATCCAAAATCGAGCGATATCCTGTGATGGAAACGATCGGACATTGCGATTACCAGAGATCGATGAAATTGGCAGAGCGAAATATTTAATCTCGTTGGAAGATCGCACGCAAACCAGATATATGTACAACGCAATGTTAGCGATAAATTCAAGAATTAGACGAGTTTCTCGTCTCTGTGAACGCAATCGATGCGACGGGTATTTTCGAGCGCATTAACTTTCCGAAACCAACGGAATCGAATTAATTCCCGACGGATTGCGGGATGCAAAACTATCAACAAACTGGAAACCGAATAGCGGAGCGAAGAGATTCGATGCTATTCTTCATTTTTTGTCCGTAAAAAAAGAAAATAGCCAAGAAACAGTGTAAATCCCACAGAATAAATTACCGTTCATGGAAGAAATCTCGCAGAGGAAAAAACACGGATCTGAGTGATTAATGTGAAAGAAAACGCCTATTCTCACATGCATTTTTGTTTCTACCATGATATTTGTCACATATACTGACCCAAAGTATTCTACAATATAAAAATTTTTTTATTTCTCATAATATGCGTAGCTTAATTATAATTTGCAACAATAGTTTAATAGTTTCGAAAATATTTCAGTCTTTCCAGTTTTAAATCCTAACGTAACTTCACAAAGGAAAACTAATTTTTACAATTTTAAATTTTACTATTATACATATATGTGTGGTGTCAGGTTTGTCAATAAAGTGTTTAAAGTGGGGATAGGCGGTCCTAGCGAGAGACCCCTCTTGCCCCTGTGCCGTCTCGCGCGACTTCTTTCTACCAATGAACTTGGCTAATACTTAGCTAGCGTGTATGTGTGTGTACGTAGGATCTACCACGGCATAAGCTACCAAATCACCTTGACCATATTACGTATGTACGTATATACCTCTGTGTAAACCCGGTGTTTGCGACCGCGTGTATATCCCTCGTCCGTGAGGGAGTAAATCCCGAGGATAACTAGGTGTTACGAGAGAAGGAAAGGTGGGGAGGAGTTAGAGTGGTTGGTGATTCTTTAAACCTGGCGTGGTTCGTTGCGCGCTAAACTTGGCGGTAAATCCTGTGCTGTGTAACCGGTCTCAAAGAAGGGAGTCTCAGATTTATAGTAGTTACCGGTGTTTTCCTTTCATCCTTGTTATTCGTATTATACAAACGAATTCCAGTTATCGGTGTTACGCTTCCCTTGCTTCGGTCTCGGGAGGATCGGTTTTCGAGCAAGTGGTACGAGACGACGGGGGATAGTAATTGCCATCGAATATGTTTACCAGCGGAACCAGCAGATTCCGGGGAAAGGATCGTCGAATGGAAGACGCAACAGGTAGGCTTAAAAGAAGTTTAACGCGGCATTCGAGGGGATTGGAAATTAACGAGTGGTGTTGGCCCGGATGCAATCGCGATTAACTCGAATAATTTCCGCGTCTCGTCGTATCTCTCAACAATTTCACGGTGTGTCGCGTAAACTCTGCTCGCACGATCGTTAGATAGCTCGGTTACTCCTTTGTTTAACCGCGTACGCGTACCCTTCTGTACTCCTGTCTCCCGCATATAGAGTTTAAAGCAAGCGAGACTTATGAACCGAGGACCGAGAAAGTCCATAGACGCGCGCAGACCCGTGTGTGTCTATCTTTTGACTACGAATAGGGGGAGCGAGGGGAAAGGTAGAGGAAGAAATGTAGACTAGTCGATGTAATGATCCTGTGGGAGTGCTTGAACCGTGATCACGTTGTTAAGCTTTCCATATCCTACCTTCATCTTCCTTTTCTCTACCTTCTCTATTTACCCTCTATACTAAGCTTACAGTGAGCTCTACAAAAATCTCTGCTCGACCGATACATTAACGTTTTTTTCTTTACACTCGCGTGCGACGTAAAAAAATATTACGAGTTTAAGATAAAAATAAAAAAATCCAATATTTCACGCGAAAAGTGATATTATCATTGACGTATTTTGATGTATTTTTGACGCGAAAAAAGAAAAAATCCTGCTATAAAGTTTGGCAAAAATTTGATCGGGTCTGGAAAAATCGAATCGCGGAAATTTTTCCAAAATTCACCCAACGCTGGACGATTTAACCTTCGAACGTTTCGAATCGTTCGTTCGTTCGTTTGTATCCTGGAAAATGCATTTGCATTCGTATTATAACGTGGAGCGGCGCGATAGGAGGGGTGGAGAGCGGGACGTTTTCGAATTACGTAACTAAATCTGAGGTACGAGGACGGTGAAAACGCGGACGTGTTTTGGCCAACGCGTGATCGCACCCTATTCCCAACGCGGTATCGCGACGCGCTTGTTTGCGTGGTAACCATCCCTCTAAGCGCTCGTCGACCAAATTAATCAGCCACGACGGTAATCGATGTTCGACGAGATATTCGAGATGGAAGACGTAAATTAAATTAAGGGAGAGAGAAAGAGAAAGAAACAGAGAGAGAGACAGAGAGCAATCGATGATCCATAACGTGTTTCTCTGTAACGTNCAAATTAATCAGCCACGACGGTAATCGATGTTCGACGAGATATTCGAGATGGAAGACGTAAATTAAATTAAGGGAGAGAGAGAGAGAGAAAGAAACAGAGAGAGAGACAGAGCAATCGATGATCCATAACGTGTTTCTCTGTAACGTTTTCTTAGAGAGAGAGAGAGAGAGAGAGAGAGAATGGTAATTCGAAGTTTGGATCGATTTTGATTTCGGATGGAAGGAGAGGCAAGAATAGATTGGCTATCGGTTTCGAAACGGTGACGTATGTGTCGTGTACGAATACTCGTCGTGGCCGAATACTCGATCGAGATCGAAGAGAGAGATCGCGCGTGGTACACAGATCGAAAGGGAGCGATACTATTATCGGGAGGATGCTCGCAGCTCGTTAAGGATGATTCAAGATAATATTGGTCGACTGACCATTCTACTAAACGTTTACAGCTCGTCGAGCATTCACCGTGTCTCCCGATCTCGTCTAATGGCCGCTACGTGCTGGCTGGCAAGGATCTTCCGGCCGGGATGCGGCCGATAGCTGGCGTGCGCAGCGTATTCCAGCTTTGCACACGGCCCGTCCATCGTGTCTCGTCTGCGTATATAACAGAGATAGCAGAGATTAGTCCCGAAGGGAAAATTAGCCTCGAATAACAGTCCCCGACAAAAATTAATCGGATCTTCTCGATTATTCGTATCATTTGATCGATTTATCAATCAAAGCTTTACGAGAGATTTTTGAGAACGAAATCGTTAATTGGAATCGCGTTTCGCCCATCCCGTGTAACAATACAATAACCGATTCCCATCGTATCGAGCATATTGTTAATATCGATTTTAATAGCGTTCGTTATATTCAACGTCGTGTGGCTCGATTATATTATTCAAACATTTAATTAGCCATTCGATTTATTCAGCAATAATAACAGGGAGCCGAAGAAAATTAAACGAATGGAGAAATAAAACGCGTTACGCCATATCGCCTATACTCGTTTTCGATATATGTATGTATATATATTTATATATATATATATAAATATCGAATATCGGCAATTTCATGTCACACGATTCGTGCAAATTAAACATCTGAACTTTGACTCGTGATCACGGATCGTTTCGAAAATAACCGATTTCGATATTATATTCCCCGTATCTTGTCACGCATCGTTCTCCCATCAAATTGATAAAAATCAAAAAAAATATCCTTCGCATCGATACGAGGAGGAGGAGGAGGAGATGAGTCGTGGCGTTTAACGATCATCGCGTTCAACGGATGATGCGAGTCAGTCAGAGAGAGAGGGAGAAGAGGGGGGATGATCGCAGTTTGCGCCGCTTAATAATAATAATAATGGCGCGGTCCGCAGAGCGGCGGGCGCGTATAGCCGCGAGTTGGGGAATGAGGAGCGGGCCACGCCGAGTTGCACGCAAACGCGTGGACGGAATGCGATTTACGCGGCTATGCATCGACGACCGTAGATATCCGTGATCGATTCCTGTGCCTAGGATGCTCGCGATAATAGCGCAATATTCGGCGTGAGTATGCGGCTCCCGCCACCTTGCTACTCTCTTCCTCAACGATGAGATTCATCACGAAAAATCGAATCTATTCCCTTTGTTAAACACTTTGTTCAAATTCTTTGCGCTGCGTGACGAGCGTTTTACGGATTGCGTAAAATCATTATTAGATTTCTTCACCAGTCTTCATTCTGAATTATTAGAATTCTTGTTTGACTAATTTCTTAATGAATACAATCAATCTCGTTTCTCAACGGTTCAAAAATCAAATTTGTCTTCGCTCGAGATAATTTTATTTTTTTTTTTTTTTTTTTTAGGAGTTCCAAGCTTTACGAAATTATAATATTTTTGCCACGAATCTGAAATATTGAGGACATTGTCAGGATTATAATTTTGGAAGAATTTAAGATTGAATATCTTATGTATATGTTTTAAAGTATAAGTTTGGCTCTTATTGATTGGAGATAACGAAATCTAGCCGAAATCTATTCTAGTGAAATGCCGCATGAAACATCGCAAAATGATTCGAACAATTATTATATT